TTAGGTTTAGAATTATTTTTCTATTTGTAATAAAGTTTCTACTATGGCATTATATTAATAAAAAAAAAAAAAAAAAAGAATAAAAGGAAGATGAATTTGGGAAATACGAATTTTGTGGATATAGATTTTGTGAATACGAATCTTGTGACTGTGAGTTTTACGAAGATAAGTCTGGAGAATTTGAGTTATAGGAATATGAATCTTGAAGATACAAGTCTTGGAAATATAAATCGTGAGGATATGAATCTTGAGAATACAAATCATAGGGATAGAAGTCATGAAGATGTGAATCATTGGAGTATGAATTTGGGAAAATAAAGAAACTAGTGATCTTTGATTGCTTTTTTGATTTTTCGAATATATGTTTATACTCTTTGAGTAATTTTCTTAAAAATTCTAATTTATCTAACAACAGATTTGATTCTGAATTATCTTGCTCTTCATAATGAACAATAGTTTTTATTGCACTACATACTTTAGCAACTGTTACTAGTGATTCAAGTACTTCGTCTTCATTCTCTTTCTCAATTTTTTGCCTGGTTGGCTTATCATTATTTTTCTTGGCTTGAACTATAGAAATTATTCTCTTACTATCAAGTATTTCTTCTGTAGCAATAGGTTCATCAGCGGTTTGTATATATATTAACATTGTCTGGGCAGTCTCAGCTGAATATGAACTCTCATCTGATAAATTAGAAATTATGATCTCAACTTCGTTATTATCTAACAGAACATCATTTTTGATATATTAATCTATGGTATCCATTTCTGACTCACTTGTGTTTAAAAGAATTCTGGTCTTGTCTCAACAATTCTGAATGATTGTATTGCTTACTTTATTCTATGACTCTGCAATGAAATCAATTATCATTTTTACAGATAGCTTTTTTCTGTAAGAAAAAGCAAAATTTAGTTATTATGTTTTATAGTTATATATTCGAGTACTTAAGTATGATATTATTATACTTAAGTACTCGGGTATAAATTATTCTAAAATCTGTAAAACTCAGTTTACAGGATACACATATCAGATAAATATGCCAATTATTACAGCTAAAGCTAAGAGTTGATCTTATTTAAATTTTTTTTTTGAATTTTTTTTTTTTTTTAGAATTTAGAATTAGGTTTTTTAATTGAAGAGTATATGTAGGTTTAGTAGGCTTTCAAGAAAAAAGATTTCAAATCTCAACTTTAGCTATAATAATAATCATACGAACTTTTCTATATTAGCATTGAATTCATATTGTCTAAGAACATGCTCACAATATAGATGCTTATATTTTGATTTAAATGATTTGATTATACCAGCATCCATCGGCTGAAGATATGCAGTTGTATAAGGTGGAAGGTAATGAAGAATAATATTTGTAAGTTTTAATGTCTCTGAAGGTTCTCTTATTTTTCATTAATGTGAAGTAGTGCTAGTAACTCACGATCTTCCTTATATACTTTCTTATAGTCTTCTTTGTAGTTTTCTCTATGTACTTCTCCATAGACTTTTTTATATACTTCTCTGTATACTTTTTCGTGGTCTTCCCAGTGTGCTTCTCTGTGGCCTTCTCTGTGGCTTTCCAACTGCTTTTCTTTCTTTCTTTCTTGGTTATCCATTATTTTAATTATTCTCAGCATCATTTTTAGAACCAAATTAATCTGCATTATCTTCATTATTTTTAGCATCATTTTCAGAACCTAATTAATCATTTTCAGTATCATTTTCAGAACCTAATTGATTATCTTAGACATTATTTTCAGAACCTAATTGATCTGTATTATCGATACTAGGTGTTTTATCTGTGTCATTAGGCACTTTAGGTAAACTATAAGATGGTGCATTATCTACAAGAAGAAGGATTTTAGAATCAATAAAGCATAACCATTTTTCTCAAATTTCCGATATCATCTATACTTTTTTATTATTTTTGTAACTAACCGGAAGTTGTGATAACTTTATACAATTGAAACTTCGTTGTTTTTCGAATGGCTAATAACTAATAGACAAAGTTTGTATATACCTGCTATATTAGCAGCAAGTAGTACTATAATGCGTGATTTATCCTGTATTATTATAATTAAGCAAAAAAATTTAAAGAATTTTAAATTTTAAAATTTTAAAATTTTAAGTTTGAAATTTCAGAATTTTAAATTTTGAGATTTAATTAAAGTCGAATAATGATGAAATTTAGGATCTCAATTTAAAAATATATACCCTGATTACTATATCAAGATTACAGATACTTAGCAAAAATACTTTGAACATATATATATTGTAAGTGGAAGCAGAATTAAGTGAAAACAGAATTTTTATATAAATTTAGTATTTTGAGGTAGATTTTATCATATACATATGTTGTAGATAAGAATGGAATTAAGTGGATTTGGAATTTCCAAGTTAAATTAAGGTTAAGGTAAGGGTATATATATGATAAAATTAACACAAAATGCTGGATATATATAAAAATTTCATTTCCATTTAATTCCACTCCCACTTACAACATGTATAAGCAAAAACAAAGTTTCTGCTAATACCTAATAGATAGGATATTTTTATTACATATACCCTACTAAAATCCACCTACACACTTTTATTATAAACATTAACCCTGTACCTAATCCAACTTTAAAAGAAAAAAGCTAAAAAAAAACATTTCAAAAATTTTAAAATTACATATTAAGTCAAAATTTCAACATCACCTGATTTTAGCTCTAATGACTAATAATAAAAAATTATTTTACTGGTTTTGACTTAGAAACAGGTTATTTAGCTAGTGTTTGATTCAGTAATATACAATAAAACAATTCAGTTTCATCAGCATTATATATATCTTCCAAGTTATATTGAGAAATAAGTCTCTAGAGTTTTATTCTTTCATTTAGTATGGATTCCAAAAGTGCACTTGCGGCTTCACCATGAAGTTTGTATCGATGTAAGGAATTTCATTTCTTATAATTAGTTATCTATCTATTTGAGAACTTTAATTTATCTTCAAAAATGCTGAGAACCTACCAAACTCACAACCTTTTAATTTTACTAATTCATCTATAAGAACCAAATCGGCAGTTGAAACTTAACTAACCTATAAAATATGATAATATCATCCTTATAGTATTTTATTATAAAGATAAAAAAAAAAAAAAAAAAAAAACAAATCCAAATTTTATTGCTTTTTTAAATGAAGGATATTTTAGTCCCCTGTTTTTATAACGGTTTTGTGTTGTAATATTTTTTCAAAATTCAAATATTGTTCTTTTTTTTAAAAAATTTTAGAAACGGTTGAATGATCAAGATTTAAGTGAGGATATCTTCACGTAAATTCATCAGCAATATCTTGGTGTTTTGCTGATAGGTTTTTATTAGAAATTCACAAATTTCTTTACATTAAGCATTATTAAATTGGCTGTGTATTTTTTTTAGGTATAGAACTTGGAAGTATGATAAAAAAATTCTATTCAAGAAAACTTTAAGATTTTACATGTTCTGATGATTATTTTATTAATTTTAAACTGTTTCTTTATATATTTTAGGTTATCTAATCTAATTTTATATTAATGTTAAATAATTCTTTTTATGATTGATTTTAGGTTATACGACAGAAGCATTTTATTTTCTTACTACAAATCACTGCCTTAACTTTACATTTATACACTTCAGTCTATTACAAGTTTTTTATTTTCACACCCATCTCAACCTGTCCTCTTTATTAACATTAGCTCTAAAATAAATTTCTGGTATATATAATGGATTAAATATTAAACTAATCTATTCTACATTATTACTAATACTCAAATCTAGGTGAGCTATAGCCACTCCAGTTGGTTTAGACCACAGATAAACTAGTCTGAGCTTCTATTCTTTTTATAATATTTTAAAAGTAGATTA